AAGATGATTAGTTCGCTTGTACATCGCAGTCTTCCTACCACTTTTCCACTCCGTGATCAGATGCTCAAGGAACGGTATCTCTATTTTCTCGGTAACGCAACGTCGAATTGTTTGCCGTTTTCCAACACCCGATAGCTACACACGTGTTTCGAGCCATCAACTATCGCCAGGCGCCTGGATCGTTCTCAATGCCATTCATTGACTCATTCCCACAATCAGTACAAGTCTCTGTTGCAAATAGAACCTGACCATTCGACGATCCTGAATAATTCCCGCTAAGGAATTTTTTTTTAAAAGTCTGCTGACGCTAAAACTTGGATTAAAATTTCTTTCTTTTTTTTTTTTCTGTATTCTTAAGAATAATTTTCATTAATTACAAATAGAAGAGAATAGTACGACAAATAAACGCTGCTTTGACCATAAAATTCTTTAAAACATCGGATTGAAAACCTTTGCCAATCATTGTAAGTATCAAGTGTATTTTCCAATGAAATACTGAAATTATCATGTCGTTTTTCATCATCGGCCGTTTCGTTTTACTGGTTCGTTCGTCATTTTCATCTTGTTTGAACTTCGAGCAAACATCGACAGGGTTAAAAAAAAAAAAAAAAAAAGGAATCGCTTTCACTCTATTTTCGGAAAAGAAAGTAAATCTTATTTCACGTTATATTTTTAGAAAGTTCTACAATCGTGCAAGGTTATCCCCTGGTAACAAGCGAGCATACTCGAAATAATGACGATACGCACAGTGATAAAAGTTTCAATTCTAAGTAAGTAAAGGGCAAAGAATAATAAAAATAATTCAGTTAAAATTCTATTCTCTCTCCTTCAAACCAGAGAGTGAAAAAACCTGATAAAATCTCCAGTCTACGAAATTCTTAATGAAATTCTTCATTAAATTATGCTAACATTTTCAACAAATAGAACTTTTGGCTTTGTTTATTTATCAGTCGTAGTCGCAAGTTATAATCCTTGAAGAATGATCATGTTTTCAAGCAATATACCACTGATATGAATTGAATTGAAAATTGCGGAATCAATAGGCCACACAAAGTATTATCTTCAGATGTTCAATAATCAATAAATAATTTACGCCAATCACGGCATAATATAATCGGTTATTATAATAAAAACTACTGTAGTTCGCCTGCTATGTGCAATTTTGTAACATCAAGAATTTTCCAGTCTGCACAGCATAATGAGCTGTGTATTATGCTGTGTTTTCTTTCTTCCGTCATTTTTCGCGCATAGAAGCGAAACGAATACGAAGTCACGCTCCAGTTTCTAAATCTTGTGTAATGTTAATGGTAATATTTTTGTTCTAGTCAATACGAAGAATTGAAATCCCATTGAGTACGAATAATATAACGTAGCAAAAGTATCAAGTTATAAATATCAGTGGAAATGGAAATGAGTACCTCACAAATATGTTCGAGGTTTTTAAAGGGGATTTCTCAAGTGTCAGAGATTTTTGACTGGACAAAGCAAATATAAAACAGTGTCTATATTTTAAATGCGATTTTTCAATGTATTTATACGAGGCGGGTGCGCATGGGTCTTGCGCATCTGTCTAACGCGCATGCGCCTGATAGGGAAGGGCTACTATTTATAAAGCGACAAATCCAGGGCACAGGGTATTAAAATTCCGGACTTCGTTCCGGAAGCATAGTCGCCTTTAACGTCTTTCTATGCTTTAAATATTAGAATCGCAATAATGTGTAATGCGATAACTTGGATTATATCGGATGTATTAACTGCGTTTGCATCTGAACTGATTTTGATCGATTTGATAAAACGTAACACTTAAAAATCGTTTTTAGAGGAAATGCAAATGCATTGCTATCCATTGCATCAGTATAAATTATAATTACCCTGAATTATCGAATGCATAAATAGGAGAACACAGATGATTGATGTTGGAACAGCAAGACAAGAAAATTACTACAGAAAATTTTTTTGAAGAATATCTCCGGACATAAATATCAGGACAAATGGCGTATCTCTATTTATAGAAAATCCCATTTTCACCAAACAAGCAACTTAAATAAAACAAGAATAAAAAATATTAAACTTGTTTAATATATATATTAGCTGCTGCAGTCAAAGAGTTGAAATAAAAAGTTAGCTGAAGTTATTTAAAATGATATTAAAGAGAAAATCAAATCGAACCGTAACTTGAGCTTCGCGTTTCGTGCAATTCCGCATCTTTTCTGGTTAATTAGCAGACCAGAACGCAGTCAGGTTTCCTGTCAAGACTCTAATTTCATTAAATGTTATTCTTTCATTGCTGACTGACTATCATAATACGACACCGAAAGAAGCGGCGAATCGTTTTTTTTTTTTTTTTTATTGGAAATGTAACAGAAGTCATAAGTATTGAAAATTTTCTACATGCGAGATTCTAAATGTTACAGTAGATGATTTAAAATCACAATGAAAAATTACACTAGATTATTTGAAATGAAATAATTCATCAATTATTTCAAATAAAGTTTCGAAATTAAAAATCTGAACTTGCAAAATTTTTATCATTCAATTTACATGTAACTTATTTTATATTTTGTTACTACTTAGAAGATGACTGAAATAATTTTTGACCTTTATAAGACTTCATTCTGAATAATTTATGCAACGGTAGTAACTTTTTGCGAGGATCCATAGTTCTCCATATATATATGTAAATAGGTGATAAATGATGAACGCAATCGTTTGCCATTTCACGAATAACAAAAAATTTAAATTTCATAAAGCGCATACGCCGTTTCATATATTGACGTACAAGGAAACTACGACTTCTCTAGAATGCCCCGGTTCTTTATTTCAATGAGGCGTTCTACAAAGATAAAACGATCATGATTTTTATAATAACAATCAAAATTCGGCGAAAGAAATATGAAAAGCTTTGGATGTTCGAGCCAAAGGAAAATTTTATCGTCGATTCTCTCTTTCGTGATGAAAATTATACGTATAATACATACATGTATTGGGTAATTTAAATTTCGTAAAAAAAAAATTTTCGTTTTTAAAAAAAATCTTTAAAAGATTTCTAAGTCTTACATGTACTTTTTTCATATTGTTCCCAAAGGGGGAACAATTTAAGTAATGTTTTCGTACGTATTTTAATTTTTGAAAAGCTCGTCCGATTACCAATATTCTTTGCTTAAGTTGTATCGAATAATTGTACGTCATGACTATACGATGATATACATGCGGTACACATTATCACTGTCGGAGAAAAAAATAACAGTGACAAAAAGCGGAGCAAAAATTATATCGTTTACATATTCACGGACGAAACAAGAAAAACGCTTGCTACGTCAACTGCGAATCTTTTTTAATTTGAATTTATACTTTAAGTATAATACTATTTATACTTTAAGTATAATACTATTTATACTTTAAGTATAATACTATTTTACACGCGATTAATACTGATTAATTCAGGGTGTGTTCAAGATTAACATCGGATATTGATAAGAAAGATGAAATTCGGGCAAACATTTTTACGATTGTACTGATAATAGTATCTTATAACGTTTGGAAATTTATTTGTGTTTTGTCATCAATGATGTCAGAAATACACGCTAAAATTTAGATTGTATAAGTAAAACAAATCTGACAAATTCACAATTTCATGAACTTTTCTTTTAATTTGAATCAAAAATTTTATCCCGCAAATTTTCAATATACTTGATGATACCTTTAATGTCGTTAGACATTGTTGTCAAATATAATTATATTTACAGACGAAAGATGGTCAGTTATAAATAATTCAACTCTTGCCCAATAATTCGATACGGATCTAGACCTGGAAACCGTGACTTTGCCACGGTTAATCACGTAACTGGTGAAACGCGGACGTAGAAATTGCCAAGGCGCACTCGGAACTTCGTTCTCGTCAGACTATTCTATTTTCTATCAATATTTACAACATATACGAATAAAATAGATCTTTTGCAAAAGTGTAGCAAAAATGTTACATAATACGTATGTCAATTTCCACTTGAAGTTCTCGATTGTGAAAAATGAAACGAACATACATACGTATACACGACATAACGTGTTAACATTTTATTGAATATCGTTTCACAAACGTTATCGTCTCTAGACGATCATTCTCGTCAATTACATTGATCGATCGAAGCCTATAAATAAAACCATCCTACAACTCAGGTTGGATTGTATATACATACATATGCAGCGATCTAGTCTGTTTTCAATCACTGACAAATTTTTATGCAAATGCTTCAAGGTCTATACTATGAATTTTATTATATTCATTGGTTCGCGAACTATATTATATAAATGTAGGAATACTGTCCTTAATTCTATGTTCTATAGCCTTTCATAAGACAATGACAATTGATATTAATTTATTAAATATGTGCTGTAACTTTATTTTATTTTATTTAACTTTACATACTATTAACCATATAACTTTATTTTAACCTTATTATTTATTTTATTAATTTTAGAAAATTTATTTTTATCGTATGAAAATGTCTCAGTCCTCAAGTCGATTGATCGTAATTGATGAATTGCTAAAGTAACTGACAAAATACTAATTGATGAAGTTCACGAATAATCGTACGTTTTCAATAAGAATTTCCTACATCTGCATCCTGCAACTAATTGAAATTGTGTATAAATTTCTACCTTTTCAACTACGCTACATTCCTGTATGTTTAATTAGAGCAATATGATTTATGTATATGGATTGAATGCCGAGGATGAGATACGAAAAAAAAGGGAACTATCGCTAGAAAAGCTAAGAAAAAACAAAAGGTTGGCAGTTCGTTCCACAATCAAAACAATTGACAAGCTCACGTGGGCACGTCAATCTATTTTCATAGCTTAAATTTTCTGAGAACAAGAGAACGAATACATAACGTAATGCATTTTGTTACAATTAAAAGCGACTTGTAAATCTTATAATTATACATGTGAATATTGAATGTCAATAAACGTATATTGTTAAGATTGAACGTTGATCATCTTACCTTATCAGTATAGGGATTATTAAGGTGTAGAACTTATTTACAGATGAACTTTTATATGAATATTCAGAAAGCAATACGAGATGTGGCCGATGACGTTCAAAGAAAACGACCCATATATACGAAAGTTCGTTGAAGACTGACTATGTCGTTGTCGTTGTTACGAGCTGCCCTCTTTCATTTCTCACTCTCTCTCTCTCTCTCTCTCTCTCTCTCTCTCTCTCTCTCTCTCTCTCTCTCTCTCTCTTTTTTTTTTGTGCGCAAGCG